CAAAGGCTTACAATTAACACGATGGTTTTCCGAAGTATAGAAATAGGAAGAGTTTTTGTCTACCGGGCAGGTTTATTGATTTTGAGGGCAAAGATACGGAGGCCAAAAAAGAAATCGTTTTAAAATTGACAAAATTGCTGGATACCACTTCAGCTCTAGACATCAAATCACAACAAAAACTTCAAATATTGCGATATTTCATTCCTTCGCAGCTTCAATTCGAATTCCGAAGCTATCATTTTGCACCAACTTGGATATCGTGCAACCTGGACAATTTGATAATAAATAATGTCAGAGAGTGGCTTTCTATGCCTATTAGCGGTTGTGTATCGCAAATACTTTCGCTGCCAACGAAACATGGCGGTAACAACATTGTGTCATTAAAAGAGACTTCAGAAAAAATAAAATTGAAAATCCGCAGCTATATAAAAAACAACACTAGTGATGAAATCCAATGCCTATGGAGCGAAACAACTTCAAATTTCATCAAATCAGATAGCTCGCTAGACGAAACAGGCTCACTAAAGCTGTCTCTTAAGCTTCTGGAGGATGACAAAGTGAAATCGTGTCTCAACTAAGCGGACTGCAATCTCAGGGAATCATACTCAAAGCCATTGGCCAGCATATAAGCTCAGCACAAATAACTTGTTGGTCCAAAACTAATGAGAAGTTATCCGGTATACTCTACAGGTTCATAAAAAATACCTGGTTCAACAATTGCCCACCAATTCAAATATGTTTCAATGGGGCAAAACTACGACTCCTTTATGTCCGCTCTGCAGCGTTCGCCAGACAAATAAACATGTCGTGTCTAACTGCTGTTCAACATCGGCACTGGCACGATACACCGAAAGACATAACAAAATATTGGCGGTGATCATAAACGAGATAAAAGCTCAGGCTCCTATCGACTGATCATATTTGCTGATTTGGAATCGAAAAATGTACGCCCAATAACACAGTTGTTTCACACGCTACGACCGGATGTTGCTATTCTGCGGGGTGGAAAAATAGAGGTGATCGAGTTGACGATATGTCATGAGACTACCCTTCTCTCATCTAAACAATATAAGAGTGAAAAGTACAAAAATCTGAAACAACATTTAAATAATAACTTTATAAACTGCTCTATAACAGTTAACGCATTTGAGATATCGCCAATTGGTTTTTATAACTTGAACCTATCTATTTTTAAAACTACATGGCCAAATTATTTTAATGTAAAATTAACTAATACTGTTATTAGCTCGACATATAGTATTTATTGCGAGAGCGTCATCGAGCTTAGGAGGATCGTACATTTCATTAAAACTCAATTTTTATTAAACTGCATTTCTTATTTCTTATTATTTTGAATTGTATTTTGTCGATTGAATAAATAAAATATGTTCATATTATTATTATCTTCGCTGTGGTTCTTCTTGCTTCTTGTGATGATGTTCCAATTGCAACTGATTTTTGCGCTGTCGGTTGTGGCGTTGGTATCTAAAGTGTTGGCACTGTTGTTGTTGTTATTGTTGATGTTGTTGTTAAGGCTGTCACTATTGGTATGATTGTTGTTTACATCATCACCGTTGTTGGTGATAACATTGTTATCATTATTGCTGTTGTCGTAATTGTTGTTGCTATAACTTGATTGTTGTTTTTATTTAGTAGTTTATTTGAAGGTAGAATGTTGTTAGACTGTACTTGAATGTTCATGGAGGGATTTTTGTTTTGTATGAAAATTAATTCAGCTATTTTCAGGTTTGTGATAGTGTTATTGCAATAAACAATTTGCGTGTTAAAGTAATGTTATGCTGTTGTTGATAATGTTTTTTAATTGCTCCATCTTGTAGATGCATGGTCAAACGTCTTGACAATGTGGTAGTTGTCATTCTAATATATGAAGCATTTATTAATTGAATTTGACGTAACTACGTTTCTGCGTATTATCCCTTTCAAAATTCTTTTATATTCTTTATACGCCATTGAAAAGGTGTTTTTATAATAAATATTATCTTATTTTTGTCATTCA